CACGTATTACCGAAATAGAAATCATAGAGGAAGAAAGGTATACATTGGTTAAGTGTAATAATCTGTTCCTTTTAAATGCTATTCCACGGTATATCAAACGAAAAATAATACTTAATCGAAGGCGAAACCTATGAAACCGAGTAAAAATTTTTTATCGGTAAAACTTATAAATTGAAACTGGAATGTTGAGTCTTCAATACTAAATTCTCAAACAATAATAACTCTATTGCCTACGTGAATGTAGAAACTGTATAAAACGAACGAATCTTCGTGCAATTAAAACAAGAGCAACACTTGATACGTATTACCGAAATAGAAATCATAGAGGAAGAAAAGTATACATTGGTTAAGTGTAATAATCTGTTCCCTTTTAAATGCTATTCCACGGTATATCAAGCGAAAAATAATACTTAATCGAAGGCGAAACCTATGAAACCGAGTAAAAATTTTTTATCGGTAAAACTTATAAATTAAAACTGGAATGTTGAGTCTTCAATACTAAATTCTCAAACAATAATAACTCTATTGCCTACGTGAATGTAGAAATTGTATAAAATAATACTTAATCGAAGGCGAAACCTATGAAACCGAGTAAAAATTTTTTATCGGTAAAACTTATAAATTGAAACTGGAATGTTGAGTCTTCAATACTAAATTCTCAAACAATAATAACTCTATTGCCTACGTGAATGTAGAAATTGTCTAAAACGAACGAATCTTCGTGCAATTAAAACAAGAGCACCACCTGATATGTTGCAGAAGTCACTTCGATTCCTCAGTGAAGTTCAAAATGGACAAAGTTAGTAAGGAACTCTCTCAGAATTCTTCATTTGGATTCGAAATCGAAGACAAGAATTTTATTAGTTATCATGTCGTTCCATGCTTTAGAACGAAGAAAGGGAGGGGGAAAAAAACTCTCAGAAAAGAAATTCGGGATGAACGCGGGAAAAGAGGGATTTTTTTTAGTGCCAAACAAAAAATATAAATGACGCCGTTGCCGGGGATCGAACCCGGGTCACCCGCGTGACAGGCGGGAATACTCACCACTATACTACAACGACCTTGTTAAAATTTATTAATTTTGTCTAATTATATATTGATGAAATAAATTTACCACCTCAACTCTCAAGTATAGTTTGTTTTAGTTAGTGCACAAAGTGTGTTGATTTTAAAGAACATATTTTGTCAGTGATACTCCAATTTGTAATATACATTATACTCCATAAGATATTAAAATTCTATAAATCATACTATTTTTTCATCTATCTTCGATGATTAAAAAAAAAAACCTTCAATGTGAGATAACGTTAATAAAAAATTTATGTTGTTCAGTAAAGTAACACATTTTTGCAACATTTCAAAATAATAAATTGTGAAGAAACAAATAACAATACTTTATCTTAAAATTGTCGAACTATATATAATAAAATTATAATGTGATATTGAAATAAGGATTATTTATTTATTTTTTTTGAAATTAATGTGCAAATCTAAATTTATTTTAGTAATAAGATAGTTAAAGAATAAATCAATAAAAACTGAGCATTTAAAATTTATATAGAAATTAAAACAATATAATTTAAAATTTTATCAA